GAAAACCCTCAAAGCAGACCTAATTCAAGAAATGAATCCTCCAAAATTCGAAAAAACTGAAGATATGTCAAACTTGACATTCTTAAATGACGCATCTGTACTGCACAATCTGCGAGCTCGATATGGTTCTATGCTTATCTACGTAAGTAATAAACTATAATTCTCGGACTTGTTAGTGAAAAAAAATCAGAAGTCACATTTAACACAGCTTCCTTCACTTTTTTTGAAGAAAAAAGTACCAACTCGCTACTGCTAGAATTTTCCAACTGACGAAGCATTTCAGACTTATTCCGGGCTTTTCTGTGTCGTAATCAACCCATACAAAAGATTGCCAATCTATACAGATTCGGTAGCAGGAATGTACATGGGAAAGCGTAGAACTGAAATGCCACCCCACTTGTTCGCCGTTTCAGACGAAGCTTATCGCAATATGCTTTTAGATCATGAAAACCAGTCTATGCTTATCACAGGTGAATCAGGTGCTGGTAAAACTGAAAACACCAAGAAGGTTCGCTTTGATAATCTGTAATTGTACTACCGTATAGAAAAAGACTATTTCTTTTGCCATCATAGAGTAAAAAAAAACGAAAAATCACAAAATATTTTTTTTATCGGCAAAAAAAATTGCAATAGTATACTTAAGGTTATTGCTTATTTTGCTGCTGTTGGTGCTTCGCAAGTAGATGTTCCAAGATCAATGGACGAAAAGAAAAAAGAGATTAAAAAAGTTACTCTAGAAGATCAGATTGTTCAAACAAACCCTGTCCTTGAAGCTTTTGGTAATGCCAGAACAGTGAGAAACAACAACTCTTCCCGTTTCGGGAAGTTCATCCGTATCCACTTCTCAAAACAGGGAAAAGTCGCTTCTTGCGATATTGAACACTGTAAGTCTACTGAGACATAAAGCGGTATATAACTACATAGCTAAGCCAACGGACTACACAAATTTTTAAATAAACTTCTTTAGACCTTTTGGAAAAATCCCGTGTAATTCGTCAAGCGCCAGGAGAACGTTGTTACCACATCTTCTACCAGCTGCATTCCGGTTACGTCCCAACTTTGAAAAAAGACCTTCTTTTGGACAAACCGTTAAAAGACTATTATTTTGTTGCTCAAGCAGAACTGACAATTGATGGTGTTGACGATAAGGAAGAACATCAGCTCACAGATGAAGCTTTCGATATCCTACACTTTAAGCCTGAAGAAAAAATGAACTGCTACAAAGTCGTTTCTGGTCAAATGCACATGGGTAACATGAAATTTAAACAACGACCACGTGAAGAACAGGCTGAACCTGACGGCACAGATGAAGCCGAGAAAGCAGCAGCAATGTTTGGCGTAAACCATGAAGAATTCTTAAAGGCACTGACTCGACCTCGCGTAAAGGTAGGAACAGAGTGGGTGGCAAAAGGTCAGAATCTTGAGCAAGTAAACTGGGCTGTCGGTGCTATGGCAAAAGGTCTGTATGCAAGAGTTTTCAACTGGCTGGTCAAAAAATGCAACATCACACTTGATCAAAAAGGCATTCCTCGTGACTACTTCATTGGTGTGCTTGATATCGCCGGTTTTGAAATTTTCGACGTAAGTTTTATGTTAACTTTTTGATAAACTTTTTTTTACCATTCTCGGCACTTACTTATTGTTTACACTAGAGTTAAGATTAAAATAAAATTTCAATTAATGATTTTTGCAAAAATATGACAAGGTAAATCCAGATGAGCATTTCAGTTCAACTCCTTTGAACAGCTCTGGATTAATTTTGTAAATGAGAAACTGCAACAGTTCTTCAACCACCATATGTTCGTTTTGGAACAAGAAGAATACGCTCGAGAGGGTATCCAGTGGACCTTCATCGATTTTGGTCTTGATCTGCAAGCCTGCATTGAACTTATTGAAAAGCCGCTTGGCATTATTTCCATCCTCGATGAAGAATGCATTGTGCCAAAAGCTACTGACTTGACGCTAGCGCAAAAGCTTATTGATCAACATCTCGGGAAACACCCTAACTTTGAAAAGCCGAAACCACCGAAGGGCAAACAAGGAGAAGCCCACTTCGCTATGCGTCACTACGCTGGTACAGTGCGATACAACGTAACCAACTGGCTGGAAAAGAACAAAGACCCTCTCAATGATACATGCGTCGCAGTGTTGAAGGCTTCACAAGGAAATGCGCTTCTGAATGAAATCTGGTCGGATTATACTACCCAAGAAGAGGCTGCAGCGGCTGCCAAAGGTCGGTCAAAAGAGTCGATTATGCAAATACTATTTTGACCCTTTTAGCTGTACTGTGTAACATTAAGACGAATTTCATTCCAGATGGCGGTGGCGTCAAAAAGAAGGGTAAATCTGGCTCATTCATGACAGTATCTATGCTTTACCGTGAGTCTCTGAACAACCTAATCAACATGCTTAACATGACCCACCCTCACTTCATCCGTTGCATTATTCCTAATGAAAAGAAAACGTCCGGCCTTATCGAAGCGGGCCTGGTTCTAAACCAGCTAACATGTAACGGTGTGCTTGAAGGCATCAGAATTTGTAGAAAAGGTTTTCCAAACAGGTAAGAGCTAGTTCACATACTATAACTTTTGAAGGTGTAATACTCCTCTCCAAAGTCAGAAGTTCTATATTTTGTTAGTATTTCTTAATTGACAATTGCAGAACTCTGCACAAAGATTTCAAGCAACGATACTCTGTACTTGCGCCTGAAGAGGCAGTCTCATCTACAGAACCGGTCAAGTGTGCGCAGGCAATCCTTAATAAGATGGTAAGCACAGGGGTGCTAACGGAAGACAACTTCCGAGTTGGTGAGACAAAGATCTTCTTCAAGGCTGGTGTCCTCGCACATCTTGAAGATGTTCGAGACGAAGCGTTGAAATTGATTATGACCAAATTACAAGCATGGATCCGGGCCTACGTTGGTCTAATCGACTGCAAAAGAAGAAGAGAACAAAAAGCTGCCACCCTTGTTCTTCAAAGGAACATTCGTACATGGGTAGAACTTAGGAAATGGAACTGGTTCAAGCTCTACGCTAAAGTAAAGCCTATGTGCAGAGAAGGCAAAGTTGCGGAACAGATGGAGAAATTGACCGAGAAACTCAAATCTCTGGAAGAGGCTTTGAACAAGGAAACTAAAGCTAAGCAAGATGTTCTCGATAGCTCATCAAAAACTGACGCAGAACGGGCAGATCTGTTAGCACAGCTTGAGGAGACTAGAAACAAGCTAAGTGATGTGGAACGGCGTGTACAGGAAGAGGCGGCTAAGAAGGGAGATGTCGACAATGAGCTCGAGGTACACTTCAACCTCTTTCACTTTGATAACTGAATTAAATTAACACTAGTAGAATATATCCTTTGTAAACATTGATTAAAATAATGTATTCCTCGCAAGTACAGACAAGTACAAAAAACATGTTTACATTATGGATACTCCATAATGTAAACATGTTTTTTTTTCACGAACCGATGTAAAAATTCCTAAAAACATTTACCTAGGAACGATAAAAAAAATGCAGATGTGAATAATAAACAGAAATTTATACATAGTTACCTAAGGAAGAACTTACTTGCAGGAACTGAACAGAAAACTCGCAGAAGCTGAGGATGGAAGTGAAGATTTAGCAAGGGGCAAGAAGAAGTTAGAAGGTGAAGCAGATACTCTTAGGAAACAAATCCAAGACCTAGAAATGAGCTGCAGGAAAATGGAATCAGAGAAACAATCTAAAGAACATCAGATGCGTTCACTGCAAGAGGAAATGCAACAACAAGAAGAAACAATTGCCAAATTGAACAAGGAGAAGAAGCATCAAGAAGAAGTAAACAAAAAAATTATGGAAGACCTTCAGTCGCAAGAAGATAAGAGCAACCACATTAGCAAAATCAAGGCAAAACTAGAGCAGTCTCTTGATGACATGGAAGAAAATTTAGATAGGGAAAGAAGAAATAAGGCAGAAACAGAAAAGGCTAAAAGAAAGGTTGAAGGAGAATTAAAGATTGCTCAAGAGAACATTGAAGAAGCTACGCGTCAGAAGCATGACCTTGAAAATGTTCTCAAAAAGAAGGAATCGGAAACTAACTTGTTAAGTAGCCGATTAGAAGACGAACAATCTATGGTAAGCAAACTACAGCGACAAATCAAGGAGCTTCAGTCTCGAATGGCCGAAATTGAAGAGGAACTTGAAAGCGAAAGAGACTCTCGTTCAAAAACCGACCGTGCTAAAAGCGACATCCAGAGGGAGCTGGAGGAACTTAGCGAACGTCTGGAAGAACAAGGAGGTGCCACTGCAGCACAAATTGAGATGAACAAGAAGCGAGAGGCTGAAGTGGCCAAACTTCGCCGAGATATCGAAGAAGCGAATATGAACCATGAAGGTCAACTTGTTGCCTTGCGGAAGAAACACGCTGATGCTGTTGCTGAACTTTCAGACCAGCTAGACCAAATTCAGAAGCAGCGACAAAAGATTGAAAAAGAGAAAGCCCAAATTGTTCAGGAAGCCGAAGGATATGCTGCTCAACTGGACAACGAGACCGCTGCTAAAGCAAGCAATGAGAAGCTGGTTAAGCAGTTGGAAGTCCAACTAACAGATCTTCAGAGCAAGGCTGAAGAGCAAAGCCGACAGCTTCAAGACTGTACTTCTGTCCGAAACCGTCTATCAAACGAAAGTGCTGACTTGAGTCGTCAACTGGAGGATGCTGAAGAACAAGTAAACGTTCTCCAACGCTTAAAAGCACAAATTAACAGTCAGCTGGAAGAAGTAAAACACGCTGTTGACGAAGAAATCCGTGAACGGCAGGCTCTTGCTGCTCAAGTTAAAAACCTTCAAGGCGAAGCTGAACAAGCCCACACGAACCTTGAGGAGGAGATTGAATCTAAAAACAATGCTTTACGCCAACTCAGCAAGGCTAATACCGAAATCCAGCAGTGGCAATCGAAGTTTGAAGGCGATGGAATGCTACGCGCAGATGAAATTGAAGAGGCTAAAAGGAAACAAAACATTAAAATCACTGACCTGCAGGAAGCTCTTGATGCTGCTAACCAGAAAATTATTACCCTTGAAAAACAAAAATCGCGCTTAATGGGAGACTTAGACGACGCACAAGTAGATGTTGAAAGAGCCAACTCATATGCCAACCAGCTTGACAAAAAGCAGAAGGGCTTCGATATGGTATCAGCTACACTTTTAACTATGACTCATTAATTTATAAACTAAAAATAACCCCCGGAAAAATTATCAGCGTTTTTCACTTATGCAATTCTAAATATTCTTCTTGTCCTGCACAAAAATGTCCTCTCTAGCCTAATCATACCTTAATTATTAAATCAGTGCATTATTAGGTTGTGGATGAATGGAAGAAGAAGAGCGATGGTTTAACATCCGAGTTGGAAGCAGCACAACGTGAAGCTAGGAACCTGTCAACAGATCTGTTCAAAATGAAGACCCAACAAGAAGAATTCATGGAAACCGTAGAGGGTCTCAGACGTGAGAACAAGGGATTAAGCAACGAGATTAAAGACCTTACAGACCAGCTTGGTGAAGGTGGCCGTTCTGCCCACGAAATGCAGAAAGTTATTCGTAGACTTGAAATTGAAAAAGAAGAACTTCAAAGAGGACTGGATGAAGCTGAAGGTAATTTAAATGGATATATATTTCATGTTTTATCTGTATCTAACATAAGCAGCAATACAAAATATTAGTCTAATATCCATTCCTAACAATTTAAGGGGCACTTGAAGCAGAAGAAAGCAAGGTGATGAGGGCTCAAGTGGAGGTTCAGCAAATTAGATCTGAAATTGAAAAGCGCATACAAGAGAAGGAAGAAGAATTTGAAAATACCAGGAAAAACCACCAAAGAGCCCTTGAGTCGATGCAGACATCCCTAGAAGCCGAATCCAAATCTAAGAACGAAATGCTGCGAGTCAAGAAGAAGCTTGAATCTGATATCAACGAACTTGAAATCAGCCTTGATCATGCCAACAAGGCAAATGCAGATGCCCAAAAGAGCTTAAAACGTTACCAAGAACAAGTTCGCGAGATCCAGCTTCAGGTTGGATTAAATTAAAAAGTTATTCTGGCACCCACTTCAGGAAGAGTACTGAAGAAAGCTAAAGTAACAGAAGTAACAAATGTTTTTCAATTTTTCAGATCGAGGAAGAACAACGCGAACGCGATGACCTCAGGGAACAGTATCTGAATGCAGAGAAACGGGCGGCTCTTTTAGAAGCTGAGAAAGAAGAATTGGCCTCTACCTCCTCCCAGATTGATAGAGCTCGTAAACAAGCCGAAGTTGAAGCAACTGATGCTCGTGACCAAGCTAATGAACTTAATGTACAATGCTGTAGCTTGAGTGCAACAAAGAGGAAGCTGGAAGGTGAATTACAGGTACGATATTGACCGTAATATTCATTATATGCATTTCCTCTCAAGCAGTTCATAGACACTATTCTGCAGGCTATCCATACGGATCTAGATGAGATACTGAATGAGTACCGCAGCTCGGAGGAAAGAAGTAAGACGGCGATGGCTGATGCAATGCGTTTAGCAGAAGAATTAAGACAAGAACAAGATCATCAGGCACATATTGATCGTATGTGTAAAGGTCTTGAAGGCCAAATCAAGGAAATGCAGGCAAGTTCTAGAAACAGGAAAAAATTATTTGCAGTTAAAAAGAAATTAAAGTTGTTTTTATCCCGGCTGCGCATAAGGAAAAACTGATCCGTATGCTCATTTTATAGGGACAACTGGATGAAGCTGAGCAGTCGGCACTTAAGGGTGGTAAGAAGGTAATTGCCAAGCTAGAACAACGTGTACATGACCTGGAAGTTGAACTCGACGGTGAACAACGGCGTCACCAGGATGTCACTAAAAATGTTGCAAAACAAGAACGACGGGTTAGAGAGCTCCAATTCCAAGTTGACGAAGACAAGAAGAACTTTGAAAGGCTGCAAGAACTTGTAGATAAACTTCAAGGAAAGATCAAGACACAAAAACGACAACTCGAGGAAGCGGTACGTTGCTTTTTTCTCAAACTCTTGATCTGCAGTAAGATTAAAATGAGGTACTTGCACAGTAGCAAAAAATAATTTTGGGGCAGATTTTCTTCTGGTAAAATCTTAATCAGTTTCGGCGTTAACAAAATTACCCCCTTCCTTC